TATACGTCAGAGATCTACAATATTAATAATACTGATTATTTCAAAAGTTAACAACATAAAATAATTTTTTCTGGAAGTAAATTGTTGTATCAAGGCCAATAAAAGAATTAAAGGATATTAGACGTAAATTAAACAAATAAAAAATAAAAAGAAAACAAGAATTGACTTGAGTCTTACTCCTAAAATGGCTCTAGTGGAAGACTCCAACTTTGACTCTTCTATATGGTTCATTGAGTTGAACATTCCTTTGGGTGCACATTAAGGACTTGTTCTATTCGAAAAAATTCGGTTAAAATTGTACCAACTTTTTAATATGTCAAAACTCTTTATGGAATTCGTAACTTTTATCAAAATTTTAACCACATATTATATTATTTGTTATCAAAATTTACTAAAATTTTATCAAACATCCCTTGAAGGATTATTATTTTTCTACCCTGGCATGTTTTTATAGTCAACGATCGTTTGTTTTATCAATTTTAGGGTCAAATTTACACCGGCTTAATATGTTTTCAAATCAAATCAAGGAGACATCAATCATAAATAGAAGACCAACCAGCTAATATAAATTTTTTAATTAAGACAACTTTGACAATAAATTAAATTTATGTTTTAATAAATTTGAGGTTTGAAAATTATTACAAAGATTAGTCACTTTACGTTTGGAGTGCAATGTTTGATGTGATTACTAAATAGGATCTGATCTTATAATAAATAGAATTTAAAATCCTCCTTCCTCTTAATTTTCTTGAATGTTAATCTATCATCTTCACCAGACCCTTTAATATAAGATTGTATAATGTAATGAATATTTTTTTCCTTTTTAATATCATTGAGGAGTTATGATCTATACCAAACATATTAATTGTGTCTATAAAGAGGAAAATTAAATGCAAAAGCCGGTATCTGATCAAACATGCCCGTTTGGCCCCATTGAATCCTATTTTATTTTTCTCTATTATTTTCAATCACACAATATTTCATATTGAATCCTATTTTATTTTTCTCTATTATTTTCAATCACACAATATTTCATAAAATAATATTACACGTAAATCAAAATTTTTTCCTTCTTTTTCAATCATTCGTTTTTCAAAAAAACACAATCACACCTATTTTAATTTCAAAAAATGGGGGCCAAACGGGGGATCTCATCTCAACTAAAAAATATGACACGGCATAAACCGTTTTGCTGTGTCGCGTCTCGAAAGCATAATAAAAACGAGTTCGGACCCTGAGCTACCCCAATTTAAAATGACATCTCACCCTAAATACACATAATCAAATAAAAAAGAAAATAGAAAATAGCCTATGTTTGATCCTAGTTCTTTAAAAACTCAAAGTTCTTCAAATTTATTTTCAACTACAAATTCTTCCAATAATATAATTTTACATGTAAATTCAAAAAAATTTATTACTTTTTAACAATGTATTCTTCTAAGTGCTTGTTTGGTAAGGATTTTGTTAATTGATTTTTTGATTGTTAGAGATAAAGTGAGTCCTATTTGTGAGAGAATAATTCAAAAATGACGGTTGGAATAGTAAAATAACAGTCAAAAAATTGATTTTTATTGACTTTTAATCTCTACCAAACATGCTCTAAAAATCAATATTATAAATCTATTTTCTAAAAGAATTAGGTTCAAACAACCCTTTAATGGCTGACTTTTCATGCTTCTCAACCGAAACATAACGTTTCACATTGCACGAACACCAACTCAACTTTCAATAACCGTTGGGCACAATACCACTGCATAGGGATGTCAAACGAGCCGAGCGGCTTGTCGGCTCGGTCGCTTGGCTCATGGGCTGCTCGACGAGCCCGAGCCCGAGCCGAGCAGGGGGCTCGATCCCACAAGCCGCTCGTGGGCTCATCCAAAAAATTGAAATTTCTTAAAAAAAGGTGTAAAAAATGTCCCAAAAAAAAAAGTTAAAAAAAAACACGAGCTCGTGGGCCGAGCCGATCTCGCCCACGAGCTAGTCGGCTCAGCCCACGAGCAATGAGCCAAGCTCGAGCTCGGCTCGTTAAAAACGAGCCATGAGCCCGAGCCGAGCTCATGGATTAAAGGGTCGAGCCGACAATGGGAGCTCGGCTCGTTAAAAACGAGCCATGAGCCACGAGCCCGAGCCGAGCCGACTCGGCTCAGTCCATTGCCATCCCTACCACTGCCTCTTGATGCCACCCATTCCATAACCGCCGCTTTCTCGTATTTACACCTTGTTTTTTCTTATGAATCATGCTATAGTTATATAATATTGACATAATTTCATATGTCACTTTATCATTAAATTGTTTTAAGCATAGTCAACTTTTTCATTCACATAACCCTTATTCTCATAGCCACTTCTATTTGGCACCAAAATTATTCTAATGTTTCAATCAATTTTGCCCTTGTTTTCTCGAAGTCAATTTCTTTTTCAAATTAATTTTTAATCATATATTGTCTTAATAAAATAATTTTGCGTGTGGACTCGTCATTTTTCCTTACTTTTTAACAACACATTTTATAAATATATTTTTAAAAAAATCACTTTTTTGACATTGCATGCTCACTTTAATGCTTCCCTCGAACACAAAAAAGAAGAAAAATATAAGTAATGAAATGTTCTTTTACAAGTATGCTTATATTTTGAATGCTATTCAATTCCACTCGTATGTCTCACTTAAGCGTCCTTAAATAATTGAACATTTTAAATATGATTCACGTATCTTCATTTAAGATATTCACACATTGAAAGACACGTAATCTAATGATTAAATAATATTACTTTTATATTCCTAAAGTAAAAGGTTATTCATTTAATTAATTGAAAAATTAGGCATTATTGTCTTTGAAAGTTCAAAAAATGGAAAATTCAAAGAAGATGGACAGCCGGCATTGCATTGCACGTTACCATGCGCTTGGTGTTAACGTTAAGCGCAAGGACATGGACACACGTTCTTACAATTCCTCCCAAACATACCACATCAAATCTTTGGACGGTCCACCCCGCGTCTTCACGCTGACTTAAATTACATTACAATTTGATTTGATACATACATACATACATACATACATGGATTTCATTGAACATACATGATACATAAAAATTCTCAATTATTCAATTTGATTTTTGAACTGAAATTGTTGAAATTTCTCATGCATAAATTTACATACATTAACATGTTTCGGTAATATATTATCACATTAAATTGATTTGATATACAATTACATACATAAATTTAATGCATAATATGTGGTTGTTAATATTAAAATCTCAAAATCTCAACGACTCAAGTGAAAGGTGTTCGTAAAAAAAAAATGAAAAATTCTACTTGTACATAATTATTGCACATAATAGTGTCCATAATGTGATGTGACAATCATCCAATTGTCAATGTGTAATTATGGACAACATTATGTAGATAATTATGTACATGTAGTACTTCTCCAAAAAAATATCTATTCAAATCAAAGATTATTATTTTGTACGCTACTTAAATTTGGATGTGAATTCTCTTTAGTATTAACCTGAAAATTAGAATTATTAAAGTGTCTCATGAACGATGAATTGTATTAGCCCCTATTTTATCTATCATTAAAGTAAGAAAATTAGTTTTGAAATAGTGAATTACTGGAAAATGTATCATTAAAAAGTATGAAAAAATTTTATTCTAAAAACGTGTGATTGAAAATAAGTTTGAAAAAAAAATGAATTTTGAAATAATGATAGAAAAATCGTCGTTGAAATTGATATGTACGTTTTTAATAATGTTATTTAATACCATTGATGATAAGCACTAATTTAGGTGGGTATATTGGATATGTTCAATTAAATGAATCATGTAATACTGTTTAAGTGAACATATCATTTAATGTCATGCAGTTGCTATTATACAGCCTGTTTGTGAGGAATTTTTTACCCAAAAAAATTGATTTTTTAATGGTTGTTTCACTATTTCAGCTATAATTTATGACTTCTTCTCTTATACGTGGACCTCACTTTTCTTTTAATGGTTAAAAAAATCAATTTTCAAAATCCTTCCCGAACGTGCCATAGATTGGTGTTGAATGATTAGTTATTATTTTGATTTGACACATAATTATGCAATCACATTTCATTCATACGAGACATATCGTACAGCTACATGCATTCATTTGATATATAATAACAAATTTGCAATAGAGGTACCATTCTTTAAAAATGTACAATCATGTCTTAAATCTTCTAGTATTGATAATTACACTGCAAATCTTTCAATAAATTTATGCCGAAATGACCTTTGGATGTTTTCATTTAAAAATCTATCAATTCACCAAAAATTCAAAATTGACTATTTTTAAGAAGGGCAAAATGATCTTTATATAAAAATTGTCTTCTTCCCTAAACTTGTCAGCCACCATTCACGACCACCTTCTATAATGTTGTGTGTGGAATTTTTGTAGGATCAAGAAAAGAATAAGTTTTAGCCTTTGTTTGTCAATCATTCTATCACAATCTATTACATTATTTTTCTACAATACTCATTTTCAACCACACATTTTTCATTAAAATAATATTATACATAAATCAAAAAAAATTCTTTCTTTTTAATCACATATTTCAGCATCAATCATTATTTCATTATATAATTTTTGAAATTAAAAGGGCACAAACAAAACCTTAGTATAGGAGCTGTGAGGCTGGTGAGGGAGGCATCGCTGGGTGGAGATAAGTTTTGGGGAAGAAGACATCTTTTTCTTTTTTAATTCATTTCTTATTATTTCTTCTTAATTATTTTCATCAATTAAATGTGAATAGATCCTTTTTCCTGCTAGCGTCAAATGCTGAATTTTTTATCACCTAGATCCTTTCTATTCACATCTATTAAAAGTTTTGGGATTCTATTGTCAAAGATTAGAAAGTTTAGAATCTAAATACATATTTTTGAAAGATTTGTGACCTCCTCTGCAAATCTCTCAATATAATATGCAGCCATCCTTTCAAAATGATTCCTAATTCCAGCAACATTCTCGGTATACAGCCCACCTCACCCTTTCACGCCCACACCCACACCCACGACCTCTTTCATCTTTATAAAATTCATACAGCAAATTACAAATACAAACATACACACAATTGATGAATTCTGGTATATAGAACATTGATAATATACCAGTAATTTTTATCTTCAGTTGTGTAGAAAAGAAAAGGAAAAAAAAATATGAAGAATAAAAGCTATGGAAAAGTTTCTGCAAAATGGATTCCTATTTTTTCCATCTTTTTCTTCTTGCTTGGGATGATTTTCAGCAACAAGTATATCCGAAGAATCTTCTGGGTTTTAATTAATTTTTCTTGTTTATAACGTTCTGCGAAATTTAACATGTATAACCTTACTAGTGATCTGGTTTTTACAGATTCTGGGCTCCATTAGATACCAACAATCAGTTCATATCTCAGCATAGACATGAACAAGAGTTGCAGATCGTCTCCGAGGATTGCGCGACAAATAAAAAGGTTTGTCTTTATAAGTGAAAATTGAAAATTTTGAAGTTCAAGAATCGTTTTTGAGTTCTCTTTTGGTTCTGGGCGTTGAAGTATATTTTCAATTTTATGTCAGATTTTATTTTATATAATTTTTTTTTTTTTTAGACAAATTTGAAATTTTGATTTGTTTTCAGGTCTTCAATTTTGTTGTTGGCTTCATTTTCTTTTAAACATAATTTTGGATGATTTCCATCTAATTGGACAGATTAGTAACACACTTGATAATTTGGGTAGCTGAAGGCTAAAAAAAAATTAACGGGGACTCAAGTGCTCAGAGGCCGAGGGGGGTAGTAATGTTTGGGGACCGTAGCTGCAAATTTCCCCATGTCCGTTAGATTATTATTATTATTTTTTTAATTTACTTGATGATGTTGTATAACAAATTGAATGTTTCATTCTTTTGTTGTTTGTACTAGAAAGCTGGAGAAAAAGATAAGGATGTAGTGAATGAGGTGTACAAAACCCACACATCAATTCAGTGAGTTTTGAATTCCCTAACTTCATTTTTTATAAAGATTATGTGTAAATTTGTTGTGACTGTAAATACAAGATAACATAATGGGAACTATGTTCAGATCATTGGAAAAGTCAATGTCGATCCTTCAAATGGAGTTGGCAGCCACTAGGAGTGTTCAGGAGAAGGGGCCGACCAAGGGGTCATCTGTAACATCTAAAGAGGGGCCTCCAAAGCAGAAGGCATTTATGGTAATTGGAATTAATACGGCTTTCAGTAGTAGGAAGAGACGGGATTCCGTTAGAGAGACTTGGATGCCTCAAGGTGATACCACGTTCTTTGTTTTGGTGTAGGTCTCCAATGAAGTAGATTCTTCTTCTTATGTATGAAATATAACGATCTATTTGTGTGATTTGATCAGGGGAACAGCTTCTCAGATTGGAGAAGGAGAAGGGGATCATCGTCCGCTTCATGATTGGACATAGGTAGGCTACTTTTTCGTACATTTTCAGAGCGTATTTTGTTTGATTAGTTTCCTTGTACATGTATATTTGCTTTACATTTGGTGGTATAGTTGAGCTATATGGCTTAGAATATCCTCAAGTTCTCAAGGAAGTTTTAACTGCATAATACCTGTCGTGATAAAGTCAACATTTTGCACATAAAGATGCGGCATTAATAAATTACATATATTGACCAATACAAGCACTTGCCTCCTTCTATCAGCTTCTAGTGGGAACTGGAGAAATGTGAAGTAATGGAACTAGAGTTCCTCTACGGAGTTGTAGATGAAATGCAAATGATTCAAAGGTCAACAAATCGAAGAAGTTTGTGAGTAGGGGGAGATTTGATGCATTTTATGGTCTGAAGTTTGGGTTGGTTTGACTTATCTCAACTGCATTGAAAACTTTAAACTTTTGGCATTAGCATAGAATGCAAGCCACCAAGGGCTATTTTGGGTGTGTTAGTATGGGAATAAGTCAATATTATCCGTATTTCTAAGAGGAAATTGTCGGGGATGTACCCTGTTGAGACAAAATGTAATAAGCCCCTGCAATTTTTGTTTTGATCAACTCCCATCCCCTTCCTCTTCCTTCTCTTCCTCTCCCCCGCTCCCTTCCAACTACTCCATTTCCCTAACCTTCCTTTTTCTCATTTTCTTTTTGTTCTTTTTAAGTCAGACTCGGGAGTTCCCGAGCAGCTGCTTGATTTGGAGTTAGGTTAAGACAAAATTTTGGGTGGTACGATCAAGGGACGGAAGAAAGGAAGGGGAAGGGGGAGGGGAATGGGGAAAGGTGGGGAGCAGCATTTGTGGCATGGGTTGAGTCTATGGTTTGGTGAATGAGATGATAAATTGGAGAAGGAGGTCTTTTCCTTTTCAAAATAAGGTCATAATAGATTTTTTTACTATGTCTAAAATACAGGTTTTGAACAAGAACTTAAACATCACGTCATTTCACTATGACCGCGAAAATTTGCCTTTATAAGAAATTCACATTTTCGAGATGCCCACTTCTCTTTTTGAGAATCTGTTATAGCTTTTACCATTGATGGCAGTATCGATGGCTTTTGGTATATGGAAGTTATTCCTCAACTCTTCAGATTATTTTTCAAAGAATAAGGACCCTCAATCGTTCCCATCTCTTGTACACTTGTTGTCTGCTACTTCTCATAGTCAGTTTTGGGCCCAATCTGACACCAAAATCGTCCAAGTCAGTTTGAGAGAATTGAGGTCCAAATCGACCCAATCCTGCTGCGAAAACCTATCCAACCCAAACCAATTCGATTTGGATCCGTTCGGTTTGGTCCTGGGTCCAAATTAATTAAGAAAACAAATACCGAATTTGTGCAAAACTCGATATTTTGATGCTCACAAATATCGAGCTTGTGTAAAACTCGATATTTGCTGCTCAATAGCAAACACATTTCGTTGGTTTGGTGGATTGAATTGGGTTGAATGTCTAACCTGCAAGCCAACCCAACTCAATTTGGTTTGGGTTACGCAATAACCAACCTAAATTACGAAGTTCGTGAAAACCAATCAGAATCGGGTCGGTTGTCAGTTAGACCGGTTTTTTCCCAAGCCTTAGTCGACATGCAAAAATTCTACTTTTTACATGTCTTATATAATATACATGTTAGAATTGAGTGATGTTTGCTGGCGCGTTATGTGAAACTGACCGGTAAATGAATTTGTTGGTTAAACTAGCGCAACATCCAACAGCATATTGGATCGAGCTCTTGATTCTGAAGAAGCTCAACACAAGGACTTCCTCAGGCTGGTAAAAGAATGCAACCAACCTTTCATTTTTTTTTTAATTATTTTGTGAAATACAATGAAGCCACATATTTTTTCCTAACCGTGTAACACATAGGATCATGTTGAAGGATATCATGAACTGTCTGCAAAAACAAAAACGTTCATTGCCACTGCTGTTGAAAAATGGGATGCTGATTTCTATATTAAAGTTGATGATGACGTCCATGTCAATTTGGGTACTCTCTCTCTCTCTCTCTCTCACACACACACACACACACACTCTTTTTGTAACTTTCAAAAATTTAGAGCATGACTGACTAAGTTTAAAAGAAAAGGCAAAAGCTAATACGTTTTCAATCTATTCCCTTTTGGACTTACAAGAAATTAGTTGTTTTGAACTTACTTAAGTAAACTTTTTAAGCTAGCAAAACATGCTTGTGGTCCTCACGCTTTAACTTTATCATGGGTGTTTCTACTACAGGTACACTTGCTGCAACTCTTGCCCGACATCGATCTAAACCACGAGTTTACATTGGGTGTATGAAATCTGGACCTGTTCTTTCTTCAAAGTAATACTAGAGCTTTCAGAGTGATACTGGGTTCATATTACTTGCAGTAATATAAAGCTTTTAGATATTTACTTCTTTTTTGTGATGTAGGGATGTAAAATACCATGAACCAGAATTTTGGAAATTCGGAGAAGAAGGAAACAAATACTTCCGTCATGCAACTGGGCAGATATATGCCATTTCGAAAGATTTGGCTACATACATCTCAATCAACCAGTAAGGATCATTTATTTGTTGGTTAAGCTGGATTTCATCCTCCACACAAACACTCAATTTTAGCAAAATTTTAAGTCAAGTCACTCAACTTCATTTTGTTTTCAAGTTGATCTTAGAAAATTGCATTTACAATTTGGTCACTCTGTTGACAACCCTTTTTTTGACTAGCAAAAGGTGACATGGCAATCTAGTTATTTTGATAACTAAGCTGCCAACTAGACTGCCATATCAGCTTTTCCGTTAGTTAATCTATGCATATGGATGAAATGACCAAATTGTAACAACATTGAAGTTTAGTGTCTAACTTGAAACAAATTTTAAGTTCAACATCCAATTTAAACAAAGTAAAGTTGAGTGACCATCATCCAGATTTGCTAAAGATCAGTTGCAACTAGTGTTCTTTAACCCTATCTATAAATGCCAGTTTGGATATTCTTGTATCATGAGAACATGAATTTGCACGTGATGGTTCTTCAATAATTATGGGGAATCTTAATTTTGATATAGGCCCATATTGCACAAGTATGCCAATGAAGATGTGTCGCTTGGTGCATGGTTCATTGGTCTTGAAGTCGAGCACATTGATGAACGCAATATGTGTTGTGGAACTCCTCCAGGTATGGTTCTCCAATTAGGTAGTTGTCCAAATGTCTTGAATTCAAAACTTGATACTGAATATGAAGTGAAATTCATGTATTTGAATTCAACATAGATTCCATCAGAACCTTGATGACTATTTGTTCGGCTAAACCTTAAAAAGTAACTCATTTTGCCGAACATGTCTGAACTTATTTAGACGTTAATTTTTTTGGGGTGAAGGTGGGAGTTCACTATATGCTCATCAAGTGTCTTGTCCTTTCCTTCTTCTTTTCGAGGTCTTATGTTTTTTGCCCCTTTTTCTAATTACGCAGATTGTGAATGGAAGGCACAAGCAGGCAATGTATGTATTGCTTCCTTCGACTGGACTTGCAGTGGAATTTGCAAGTCAATAGAGAAGATTAAATTTGTACACGAAAGGTGTGGTGAAGGAGAAGAGGCTCTTTGGAATGCTTTACTATAAACAACTATATTGGGACAGGGGAACCTCGAAACTCCACATTTTCAGCTGCTGGGTTAGTCGAGGCAGTTTCTTGTTTAGTCAATACAAATAGTTGCATGTGGCTTCGAGATACACAATCAAAGTAAATTATTATCTGAGTTAGAGCACAGATGGTAATTTATTTTGATTTTACGGATTCTTGGATAGTAGATTATGGAGCCACGGCATATTTTGCGCACATTCTTTTACTTTAGAATAGAGGGGATGTTATTTTTTTGGATATGATACTTGATTCTGAATAGAAGACTACATATATTGGTGATGTGGAATTATATAGAAGGGATTGTTTCACATTTGTATATACAATTAAAATTATTTCTTGCTCTCTTCCAAAATTTAATGGACTTTTTAGCACCAAATGTGTAATTTGCCTAAAAAAGGACTATGACTTCTTAAATAAGGTGAAATTTGTTAGTCATTATTGTATATTTTTCATTGCTTGCTTAGTAAGAACAAACAATCCGTGACATAAATCAACTTCCAATTCATCATAAATGTCTATTTTATATACTCTTAAATTCGAACAAGCAATAAATTATTCACAAGAAAATTTTGGACGAATATCTCATAGTAATTACGTCATCACGAGATTATCATTTTCCGAATGACTTACGAATAATTACCTGTTTTCCGACCGAATTGGACGGTCCAATCCGATTTGAAAACATAGGATATATTTTAAAGGAAGTAATGGTCAATACTATTTAAAATGTCAAAAAGAGCACTTATAATGAAGGTCATTTTCCGTTTGGACTATAATTAGCCTGACAGCTGTCCGATTAATCGGCAGTTTTTGGCATCACACCCAATTTTACAAATCGCATCAGTTAATTGGACTGCCGGCGGAGGAAAATGGAGAATTCCGACACCTTTGGATCGTCGACTGCCACTCCAACGTGGCAGTACTTCCTCGAACGCATGCGCCACCCCTCCGCCGCCGATTTCGTCAAAGCCATTAAAAGGTAATTATTGCTATCATCATTCGATTCATAGAAAAAATAAACATCCATGTTAATAAATGAGGTCCTTAGTTGCTAAGTACGAATCTGAATCTTTCATTTCTAATGAACGTCCAGACAGATAATATAACAATTTTGTTCATATTGTGAGGTACATATGCATTGTTGCTAAAAATAATTGTTGGTGTTGAATATTTAGACCAATTTCAGATATTTCTGAAAGTCCATATGTGCATCATAAGCTCAATTATGTGCCTTTTTCTTTGAGATTAGTATATCTTGTGCAATAGTAAGTTCAATTGTAAATGTATGCATCTTTGCTGAAGAAGGAAAAAAAGAAAACGATTTTGATGATTTTTTTCATTGAATTGAATGAGCCCATGAATTTACAGCTCGACTCCTTCCATTTAATCTTCATCTTCTACAATATAAGGTAGCTTAAATTTGTACGCTTGCAAGTTTGTGATGCAATAATTCTTACTACCTTGGACATATAATTATTAATTTTGACTTATTTCAGTGCATAATCACTTTGTTCACTTGCAAACCATTAAAAGAAATTATTTTGTCCAATTCATTTCCATTTAAGCATGAACTGAAGCTTCATGTGTTATTATTCAAATTCTTACTACCTTGGACATATAATTATTAATTTTGATTTATTTCAGCGCATAGTCACTTTGTTCACTTGCAAACTATTAAAAGAAATTATTTTGTCCAATTCATTTCCATTTAAGCATGAACTGACGCGTCATGTGTTATTAATCAAATCACTTTTTCTTTTGGAATTTATTATGTTATTAACTAATTCTTTGGGAATTTGGTACTTTTATTTAATTGTTTGTTCCTCTAAAACACACTGAGCATTATATTTGAATTGTTTGCAGTTTTATAGTGTCATTTTTGAATAATACACCGGATGCCGAAAGGGACAGCACAGCTGTGCAGGAGTTCCTTGGGAACATGGAAGCGGCATTTAGGTCACACTCCCTTTGGGTTGGATGTTCAGAGGAGGAGTTAGAGAATGCTGGTGAAGTGAGTTTCAGTAGTTTTATAGTAATTGGTTCTTTTACATTTTGACTCGACATACCAAAATGATATTGGAATGGTATGGAAGGAACATTATGGTGATAATCTTAGCCCGGGTAAGAGCCCCATTTTGTATGAAAGGAACAGTATGGTGGTATTCTTTGCCCAGGTTTGAGCCTCATTTTTTAAACTTATTTCTTTCCGTACTCATTTTTAGCTACACATTCTCTCATAAAATTATTTTGCCCGTAAATCCAAAATTTTTCTCCTTTTTAACCACATTCTACCCAAAAAAATCATCTTTACAAAATCTATTATAAAAAATGGGGCTCAAACAAGGGCTTAGTGTTCCACCTCCAACATTTCGATTGCATTTTACTGTTTAAGTGTATTTTGTTATATAAATAATTTGCAACAAGCTGGTGAAGACAGAAACTAGAAAAGATCAATAATTTAAGAATTCCTTCTTGAGATTGGGTATCTTCTACTCCTTGACTTGGTTTTTGTTTGGTTTGTTTAAATTTTTTTTAACTTAAAATAGTCTATTAGTAGTTACAATTGCACATACAGAGGAGGGTAATTCTGACATAGTTTAGCCCCAGTTTGACAACCATTATTTCACAACTCTTTATTCTACATACTCATTTTCACACATTCTCCAAAATTCACTATTCAAAACAAAGTTTTTGCCAAATAATGGCCATCAAACAGGGGCTTAATTTCATGGACTAGGCTCGGAAGCACATACATATTTTAGGCTTTCAGTAAATCCCATCAATTCTAAACTTCTTTTACGTACATTAATATTATGCAGTGTTACTGTTTGGGATACCTTGATTATCTACTTTTTATACATTATCACTCACTTGCACGAGTAGAGTTGAGTAGAGTTGTATTGAGCTGAGTGGAGTAGAGTTGTTAAACTACTAAGTATCCGGTGCAGTGTAAATTTATCTAGTTGCTCAATCTTGGCCCAACAATCGCTTGCTGAGCTTGGCTGAACACTAAAAGAGTCAAGTTTGAACATTTTTGAAAGCTTGTTTCTTATACAAATCAGAATTAGCATCCCTCACTCCATGTGGTGATAGTTTCTTTTCCCCTCTGATAATCATTTTCTCAGCCATTTTTTCCTGATCTCCTTGTTTATAGTAGATTTGTGTGTGTACAACTTCTTCAAGTTATTAAAAAGGAGTTATTTTCAAAAATAGAAAATCTACATTTGCTAAACTTTTCACATCTTTTGTTAACACCAGATACTCCAATTTAGTGACTGGAGAATAATGTTTGTTAACTTTGCTAAGTGCTTTATATTCATACTTCTTTCAATTACAGGGACTGGAAAAATATGTCTTGACAAAGTTATTTACACGCGTATTTGCTGCAATTCCGGAAGATGTGGAAGTTGACAAGCAACTTCATCAGAAGATGGCTTTGATTCAACAATTCGTTCGGCCTGAAAACTTGGATATCAAGCCAACATTTCAAAATGAAACATCATGGTTGGTGAGTAAAAGAATCAACTTAAAATGATTTTTCCTACTGTGTTGACCACTTCCCCAGTTGAGTTTCTTGTTGGGAATTAAACTTGTAATGGCCACAATAGCCTTCTGTGTGCTGCGTTTGGGTTGTTACATATTCCTGATCTTGTATTCACTATGCAAAAATTAACATCCTTGCATCATTTTCATTGTGCACCGGCACACTGGTATGAAATTGCCAAGAGGCTGGTAAGGATGCATGATTTTTTTTGGGTGTAGGTTGAATAACTGAGCATACATATCCATATTCACTTTTTTTCTACCTCTGTAGCAGTCATCCGTTAATATTTATGAACTTTTGTGACAATAAGGAAGAGACCTATGGTTCTTAGCCAGTATTTTCCTAAACCCATTGCATAATGTTGTCTCGTAAATTTTTTGAGTTCTGTCATGGTCAAATGGATTGCCCTCTGATTTACTTCTCTTCTTGAAGATCTATGGATTGACTAGCAACATCATCAAAAGTAGGAATGTAAGCAATTAAATTGGTTTTCGGTGATTGAATATCAACTCTTTCTTTTAGCTGAAACATCATGGCAGATTATTAAAGGTTTATACAGAATTGTTTATGTGTCATGTTGAAGACGTAGATGTTTTATGGTCTGTGCATGTTTATACGGGATAAATAGGTAAAGAGAAAATCCTTTGAATGGGAATAAGTGTCTTGTTATACTACTGGAATTACCTTGTGAGACGTCCTTTCAGTTCAATTTTCTACTTTCAAGCAACCTCATGATAAACGAGTAGATGTTACCCATTGATTAGTACAGACGTACACCAAGCCCCTCAATAGTGATATGTTGGCACATGATTTATTGCCTTGAGAACTAGAGAAGAAAAACAAGTTTAAACTATCACCAGATGAATTTGAATATGATTTTCCTTAATTTCTCTATGATGTCAGGGATCTGCTGTCAAATTTATCTTTTGTGCAATAGCTCATCTTAACTCATTGATTTTTCAGGAGAAGTATCCAATGAGTTCAAAGTTCTCTATTTAATGATATGTTGACATATATGTTAGTAAAACTGTTTTACGCGGTTAAATTGTTGAAATCTTGTTAGATATAATATATTAGGGTGGTTTTCCATGAGATCTAGATGATATATCCTACCTGTGCTGTGGGTGGAAAATGATCATGTTGAAAGGTTTGATATAAAATAGTATCCAATGACAGAAAGCTTGGGTGACAGGCACATCTCCTTGTAGGAAAATAGATTATTTTAATCTGAAACACTTTAACAGGAATGATAAACTTTTACTCAGCTAGATGCGTGCTAACCCCATTCTTGTAATTCTACTGTGGCAGCTTGCGCAGAAAGAGCTGCAAAAGATTAATATGTACAAGGGACCGAGAGATAAACTTGTCTGCATTCTCAATTGTTGCAAGGTCATCAATAACCTACTGATCAATGCCTCCATTGCTGCCAATGAAGATCATCCAGGAGCAGATGAATTTCTACCTGTTCTCATATATGTCACCATAAAGGTAATTCTGCTTCTTTGCTGCATTGGATAATTACACTTTTGTGGTCCCATTTGCTGTTCAGTTTCATATTTCAATCTGGTTGCATTGGTGTTATCAAACCTTAACATTTCTGCAATGTCTGGTGACAATAAAATGATGTCGTAACACAATAATGCATCCTTTTTCTTTATCTGCTGGAATTCTATGACTTGTTGCTTAGGTCATTTTTCATCAATACATGTTCAACTGGTGATATAATTTGTAAATGTAATGAAAACTAGTTGAAATCATTGTTATAGTGACCAGCAAAAGCAAAGAATCCAAGGTCCAATTTTAATTCTAAGTGCCACACAATTCCACGAAGAAAAAGAGCAAGAAGAAAATAAGAATGTAAGGCACAAGTGTTGTCTGGTTTGGCAAAATCTTCCACAAAGAGAATTTATTTGATTAACTCAAGAAATTTGGACAGAATTCCTTTTACACATTCCCATCCTCTTAAGAAACTTTCCCAAATCGCTTGTGTCCTGGACATGCCTTATGCGTTACTACTCACTTTACCCCATGCCAACGCCCACCATCCAGAGTAATGACCAATTAAAAAAGGTACTTCAAAGTAACTTTTACTTATTTTAAGCTTAGCTAAACATGCTAAAGTTGGACCTAATGAGTCAGACAGCTATTTGTTGGGCATAGGGCTGATACCTTTAGTTGTCTCCATTACTGTCAATATGATATGAGTAAAGCATTCTTACCAAAGATCTCTATTTGCTAGGGAGTATAACTACTAAAAATCAATGCAACAAGAAATGAATTCTGGAATAGAGCAACTTGAAGGATGTGCTATATTACTCGTTTCTACTCACTATATTTGTCAGGTCAGTGACAATGGTTTTGTCATATGCTCAAGTTTTATAACTTAAAATTAACAAATATCAAGTTTGGCTTGTGATAATTGGTTCTAGTGTTGCCTGTGGAGACATTAGATTTCGTCATAGAACTTTGAGAGGATTCGTTTGATTAGAAGCAGGTTGCAGATGGTTTTTTTATATGCACGTGCAAATTTCATTTACTCAAACCATAATATGTGTGTTGATGCTCACAGCTGCACACAATTTGTTTTGTTTTGGTTAACGTCTGCCCTCTTGACATCGATCATTTGATTCCTTGCAATGAATTCGTTGGCTTGAACAGGCAAACCCTCCACAGCTGCATTCCAACTTATTATATATACAACGGTACAGGCGACAAAATCGTTTGGTAGCAGAATCAGCCTACTATTTCACAAACATGCTTTCCGTGGAGTCTTTTATTATGAATATCACTGCACAAGCCCTTTCAATGGATGAAAGAGAGTTTAAAAAGAACATGGAATCTGCTCGACTACTCCTTTATGATCTTTCTGAAAGTTCAGACGTACTAAGCCAAACTGATCAAAGAGTTGGACACGCTCCCAAAACACAGGTGGTGGAACCCAAACAACCTTTGAGTTGGAAGCACCAGGACTCAACAGTGTCAGGTCAGTTCTCAGTCAACTCATCTGAAAAGAAATCCAAGAACGGGGAATCAGACTTAAAAGACTACTTATCTTTGAATAAAATTCCATCAATTTCAGATCTTGAAAATAAAGGTGCTACCATGCTTTTGAAGGAAGATGAAGTAAACCATGTCTTTAGGGATTTCCCGTACTTGTATTCACAGGCTGGTGATCTGACAGCTTCCGATGTAGAAGACCTGCTAAACAATTACAAGCAACTTGTATTCAAGTATGTGTGTCTTGCCAAAGGATTGGGTGTTGGAACTCCGTCTCCTCCAGTGGCAGATACCCAAGGTCAAAAGGATGATCAGATTGAAATCGTGATGGAATCAGAAAACGCTGGGGAAGGGACATCAAATGATGAAATGCACAAGGAGCTTCCTAATTTATCTTCTGATTTAGTTGAAGCATCACATTTTGAGTCGGAAAGTTCTGAATCCAAGTTTTCTGAAGGAAATTCTGAGTCGAAATTGCCAGAAGAAGCAGCTGTTCAAACTCAAGGTCAGGAAGGGGATCAAAATCCTCATACGTGATTCTCTTGATAGCCCATATAAATTAATATCGACATATTTGGAAAGATGGACTAAACAGAGGAGAAGAAGAAGAATTTAAAATCCTATTTGTTATAATGTCTAGTCCAATACAGCACTGTGTACCAGTAATGCTTCGACGGGGGATCTCTAGTGTACTTTAATCTAACTTTAATATGTTCACAAGAGGATGTATTTTTATGTCAATTCTTTGCAAGTAGGATATAAAGCTCTATGAGCAGTGTAATCAGTACAACATTGAGAAAAAATTGACTGTCGTTCGGGATGACAGGAATCTTGCCGGAGGGAACTTTTTTTTTTTTTTTTTTTCCTTTTGGGCTCCCATTTGTATCTAACTTCTACTGGTTTTTGTTTATCAAAATTCCTATGGCTTCTGCAATTGTGATTGCTTATAGATTGCCTTTTGAAAACAAAATTTAGTAGAAAAATGAAAGATAAGTTTCAATGAAGCGTGTAGAACTTGATTAGGTAAATTTAACACTGTTGTATAGGTTGAAATGTGTTGCACTTGTGACTACCGTCTACCATATTTGGATGGCAATGAATAGGTTGATTTTTGAAGACCTTGAACCGAATGTTGATTGTATTACTCGTACGATTAAAACACACGTATACGAAGTTACGTATTCTTTGTATCCGGATGTTTTGATAAGTTACGAGTCCGTTGTTTTAGGTCTCTAGATTGTTTTTTTTCTTGTTTTCTTTTGCCCAGGAATGTCCGGAGTTTTTGTACATGATTTTGATCAATATAATTCACATTTATCGATAAAAAAAACACTGTTGTACAAAATAACAAACCAATATTTTTTACGTCTTTTTCTTATGATTTCCCATAATCTTCAAGATTCCAGTCTCTCATTATGTCTGTATATTGTGTAATAGTGTTCCATTTGATCTTTTAGGTCCCGACTTCACCTCGATGGTTATTCTATGATGCCCCTTAAACCCTATACGCGATGGATAGACTCTTGTAATCATGACATATTTGCGCTTGAACATAATTTCTTTCCAAAAGAAAGGTAATTCCACGAAACAAAAAAATTTTTTTCTTTACGAGGTACAAATAGAAATTTGTATTTATTTGTAATGAAATCGACCATAGATCAATTCCCCTTTTGATTTGGGAGTATTGACTACATTCCTAATTCTGAATTTCATGTTACTCCTGCCAAGTGACATGTCAGGTCTAGGGCATCCCATTTGGATGGACTGAGATGACAATTTCTCATTTCGAAGCTGTAAAATCAGAATTTGAATCAAATCACACATCACAGTGTACTAGACCTTTTTTTCTTTAAAAAGTTTATCCAAATGATTCACAATATAACTAGGAAGACGTTTTAAATGTCACATATGGGTTACTGGACATGCGAGTTTGATGTAGCCCATTTGATATCTTCGGATGCGAGAATCGACAAATTCGACTCCGCATTGTTCACAAAATTTCGGGTCTTCTTTTTCTTCTCCAATTACTCGATAATTACTACAAGCACAAATTTCACTTGTCATAAGCCCAAAAATTCTTTCACAAAATAATCCATCTTTTTCAGGTCCATTGGTTTTGTAATGAAAAGTATAAAATTTTGTCACCTCTCCAACTCTCTCTCCATTATGCAGTATTTTTGTGGCCCAAACATTTATTTGTTGGGAAGAAACTAATCCAATTCATAGTTGTTGATGTTTATACTGATCGATCATAGAAGAAAAATTCTAATTCGTCCCGATTAAGCTTCCTCCCTATTAATTTGGAAGTTTTTGTCAGATACAAGGAAATGGTTCAGTTCCAAAGCTAAAGATCGCGAGCAATCTAAAAGATTACTCTGTACATTTTTCTATTTACCATCCACAGAGACCCTTTTTGAACATAGGCCGGATGTCCGAAACAAATATTTCACAAGGTCCCAATGGAATTATGAAGATCGCCATGCCCATCTTCCACAGAAATAACTTATTTTGTGTATCTTCTCAACATACACAAGTAGGAAAAAGCAAAATTCATAGGTTGAACTAATAAAGCACCTACCAACTCGGGTTTACAGGACGAACGTACAAATACAGAACATGCATATAAAATAAATTATTAAAAATCCAAAATATATGTATCACGTGCACAGGGGTCCAAATTTGTATAAATCTCCAACAGACCGTGACAGCGTTCCACCACAACACGCTTTTGTCAAGGGATTCATTCACAAGGCTTACACAGCAGTCTCTTTTTCGGTTGCTTCCTCAAAAACTCATGGTATGTTTTACTGGAAAGATAGCAAACAATATACTACCAGTGAGAAATTAAAAGCTAAAATCTTATTCATCTCTGTCCAAGCTTATGCACACCAATCATGCACTTAAGGTATAACTAGCTAGGTCAACAAAATGAGGGAATTGCCTGAAATCTAATTTGTGCAGAATCATAATTAATTATTCATACCAATCCTACATCAAATGACAAATTCGGCCTCACTTACAGTAGAAACACTACCATACTGCCTTTATAATAATCAACAACCATATAATAAGTTAAAGATATCCTAGACCTAGAACTAACACCAGAAGCTTTGTTCTTCTGATAGATTTTCTATTTACACAGAACAGTTCAAGTCGCACTACAAGGGTGACTCAGCCATAAAAAGACCTTGATAATATGAAATTAATTCTGCTCTTTATAGGGAGTCCATATCAATTTACAAACATCAACATCAAGACCACCTCGGCCTGCAGCTTTCAGATGACGGTCCAACACCTTGGGATCAGCACAAATTACATGCTGCCCCTTACGGTACTGGATCAACTCTAAACTCTGAAGGGTCGTCAGAATATCCTCTGCCTTGATTGCCGTCATGTCACTGAGCTCCTGCAAAAAGAAATTAACAAGGAACGTGCTGGTAATATAACCAAAGATGATATGCGAATGGAAGCAATTTAACAAAACCAATTAACCAAATGTTCAATGCAAGCACAGAAACAATAACTGCTTCTCACAAAATTAGGAGCACTGCATAACTTAAACATAACTAACATCTAGTTTCCAAGCATGTGTGGATGCCAACAGTATTTTCTTATTTCCAAGTCAAAATGCTAGGAAAAATTTCCTAATTTTAATCTTTTGAATGGTATATGAAAGGGGTAATCTTTGGGATTATCCAAATTTCCCCCACCAGACTCCATGAAAAAAATTTCAACAAATTTATGCTAATGGAGAGTGTTGTGTACAGCATGAAGTGATAAAAAGAATTATGGATATACTTTCCCATCTTCTGCTAGCTAAACACATTACAATTTGAAAGTTTTCATAGGTATCGGATAAACCTTAATAGAGATGTTGCCCTTGTGCTTTTTCAGAATATCTAGAAGTACACGTGTCCAGTATCCTCGGTAGCTTAAAAGACCAAGGTCAGAAAGGGGTCTTTCTGGTGTTCCAACTTTACCTTCCTTCTTCGAAAGCTCGTATGCTGTACAAGGAAATCGACGACGACATACTTAGCAAAACACAACCATAAATTTAACGAATAGTTATCAATTAGTGTGTTCTTCTAGATAACAACCATAAATTTTAGATCACAACAACACAAGTAATCTAAAATCCATTGTGCTGCACCAAGCGTTACCCCTAAATTCTCCCAAACAAGGAATTTCTATGATAAAGGTGGTTCGCTCAAAATGATTGGCTGTATTCCCTGATATATTGTTTAAGAAAACTACTTGAGACTTGCACCTAGAATCACCCTTAAGTGCCATTTGTAAGGCTTATCCCTCATGACGATTAAGGTGTCTGCCCTTTCTCTTGCATCTTCCAGACATTAATTTGCTGGTCTTAACTTTTTGGGCTATTTTCTCTCATATTTTTTTATAGATTTATTTATATAATGGTACCTGATAAGCATTTTTAAACAGCAGAAAGGTTTAATCTATATTTGCCCAACATAGATTGTGAGATATCTAATCCTTTAATTTAGTTAACAAAATTATAATCAGGATTTATATAACCTCGTCCGAAACAGATTGTTTAATCCCATTTTGATAGCTATTTTATTTGCCATGCACTGGTTGACCCATATCAATATTCAACCTATGTAGAAACATTGATATTTTGTATTCTGAAATAAATCGGGATCAACTATAGTCCTTGTAGGAAATGGAAAAAAATAATTCTGATTACTTTTTATCCAATATAGTGTTTGTACTTTTTATCTAAAACATAAGGAGCTCACACTTTACCAGGAGATTAGATAAAACATTCTATTGTCTTGAGTGAACAAAGAAGTATCTCAAGATTTATTCCACAATAGAAACTAGTTAAGACTCATCCCACCAAACTTAAGTTGGTTAAAAACTTGGTTTAGCAAGATCCTATCATATCTAGATAAATTATGTGTAGTTATATAAAACCTAGTCAGACCTGGTTCTACAGTTTCAAGTTTTCAAACAGAACCTAAATGACATAAAGACTCTAAGAATTTAATTAACAATATTCTTTTTCTTAAAGGAGCTCTGAGAATGAATTTATATCATCTTTAAGCTACTAACAAGAGGACATATTGTACCCAGGTCATTGATTGGTCAGATTTTTATCAGGAACCAACCCAAACTTTTTCTGTTTTGATAACTTATTACTGAAACCATATTAGTTCTTGGAGTTTCAGCGTAGAATATGTATTCTTAGTGAATATGTGGCATGAAGAGTACACAAAAAGAAAGTTAAATGAAGTAGCTTACAAAATGCAATTAGGAATTTTCCATAGCCTTTTCTCTGATAAGGAGGAAGAGTAAGAATGCAGGCCAAATTATAGGACTCCTCTGAATGCTTTTCCTGCATAAGAGAAATAACAGTAAAAGACATTTGATCTTGTCAGATCTGATTGCAAAACCCATTGCCATTCAAATCTGAAACTCCAAGAGCAATCAATTCTCACAATTCATATTACTGACGAGACATTGCCAAAACAATTATCCCACCTATATCGTAATAAAACATGTTGGCATGAACTTTGTTGGTCCTCACCTCTTAGTTAAGTTTGACAGGTAGAAAAAGTTACCACAAAATCATATTGATTGACAGTAAGATCAAGCTTGCGCAGAAACAAATTTATATAAAACTGATTCTGTATCGAACTAATTTTGGCATACAAGCTGATCCATGATGTATGAAACAAGTGTCATTTTCCATGTGAAGTGGAATTCAAAATATCTATAAATGGAATGAGCTAAACGAAATAAGGAAAATATGACTCCAATAGAATGAAGAAACTGCCTGGATATGCGGTAAAATTCATAGCAACTCCTAAAGGTTTAACATTACCTTGGAGAAGTAGCCAACCATGTGACATCCTCGATCATCACATTCACACAGTACATAAAACAGAAATAGGTCAACATCATAGTACAGGGTCTTGTGATCAAGAAACAATTTAGCCAGATAGCAAAGATTCTGGCCATAAACCTTGTTCTTTTTGCCATCAACCTGTTTCAATGCATGCAAAATTAGTTGAAGACTATTTCAACTTAGAAATTCAAATGGGTGCAGAAAGGAATACTACACTAAAAAATCAGATGAAGTGATGAACACAATTCGCAATAGTATCAATCACGTAGAAACATTGAATGAAGTCTACAGCAATCTACCTGTATTTCCAAAATCAAATACAAAATTACTGCAAGATCAAAATTTTCATAAAGTCAAATAATTCAAATTTGAATATGGCAAGGTAACTCTAGAAATAAATGAATACAAAAAAGTATTTAAAAATCATAATGGTTCTTTTCATTTATGATCATTAGCTTTTTTCAAACATTATGATTAGGTTGAACGAGGGATGTAAATTTACCTCAAACATTGACAAGGTGCCGCTTCGGTATATCTCGTCACCAGGAGGATGCTTGAGATCACATTTCCTCTACAAATACAAACGTAAAAAAAAATAGTGAACACTTGTAAGAATACATCTCAAGGTTAATTTTACCAATGATGATCTTAAGAATGTTAATGATGATGATGACAATGATTGTGGTGGTGTAAAGGTTACCATGGGCATGTCAACAGGTAGAAACGTGGAATAAACATCAGAAAACTCAGAAATTTTATTTTACGCCGATTATTAAAAAAAAAAAAATGAGCACCAGCTTAGAGATGCAGTTAAAATCTTTATTCCAATCACAACTCTGGTATCAACAGTCAAAATTTCATATAAAAACAGGGTAAAAAGAAGAATTGAAGACAAAAAGCTCACCATATGCCTCTGAAGCTGTTCTTTACGCTTCATGAAATTGAGGCAAAACTCACAAAAGAACAGCTTGGTACACTCATTGTATTCTGGTGGAAAGGGGGAGAAGTACCATGTCTCAATCTCATATCTTCCGAGTTCTATCGTTGCAATATTTTTAACTTTTGTAAATTCTTCATGTTCACGCAAGCTTGCAGCATCAAGCTCCTCATGGCCCTGCATGATTTGAAATGACAGATGTCAGTCATCCAAATGAAGTTTTTTGCCGGGAAGAACATAATTGAGATATTTATAGGCGAGAAAAACATGAAAAAGGAGAACAAGTAGATCTGTAATATAATCTATAACGAAAATTCCCAGATTCAATATACTAATTAAATCTCGTTTCAATTCATCCATAACAGGATGACTACAAACAGATTGTGCTGGTATTGTTGACGAACAGAGATTAATATTTACGTAGTAACCAACATAGACCCAAAATAATAGTAACAAAATAATAAAGCACCTCAGAAAAAAGAACAATAATGAAAATACTGACAAGAAATACTGTGAATAGTGAAATGCCTATTAAAACTGCAAGTACCTCTACATGTGTCTCGTCAATCTTCCGCTTTTGGTGGCGTGTCATCTTCAAGCTTGTTACCTGAAACTTTCAACCATGAGAAATAGACATAATGAATAAATTTTACTTAAAAAAGGAGGAGGAAAACAGTAACTTGAAAGCAAGCAATGGCGTGTCATGATGGAAAAACAGAAAAAATGTAATCTACTTGAAGAAGAAATGATGAAGATGACAAAATATGTAAGTGTGAACTTCATGCATGTAATATAAGCTGAGCAAATAGATTAGCATCTGCAAGCAAGAACTTGGAAAATTTGACGAGAAACGAATAGATAGTGCAAAGTTACCTTGTCCTCGACCTTTTCGTCCACAACAGTTTCTACAGAGTCAAGATCAAGTTGTTCAAGTTTTACCCATTCATCAAGTCTCCTGTTGACTGCCCAAAGATAAAGCAAGGACATACAGAAAAACAACCGGTCAAGTGATGTAACAAGAGAATGACAAATTTCATGAATAATGGCGGAGGACTTTATTTCACTCAAGTAATCTAACATTAGGTAACACGGTAAAGCAGTCAACACATGCTTATACGATTCCTGCACTGTGCATCGACAGTCTTGTTTAATCCATCGTCGTGAAACATCAAGAACATAAAACTTAGTTAATTAGTGCATCATAGGATGAAAATTAGAGTGGTGCTGAGTACACAGGGTATGGGTACCGAACACACACAACACCGGATGGGTGGGTGGGTTTTATTAGTTTTTTATACACTTGGTGTGAGTGAGTGCAGGGGTTCTGTACACAGAATTATTCTGATAAAAAAAGGTCGATTGACAAGAATAATTGAAAGAAATAATTTACAAGATATGATTTATCTGT